CTTCCTTCCTTCCTTCCTTCCTTCCTGTTTCTTTATTAATGGGGCTCTTTGCTACTCTAACATTACCCCCTCTGAAGAGGTAACCCTAAAATCTCTTCATTTTTGGCCTTTGGGAACATAGTATGTTGCTAAGAGGCCCAAGGACATTTTGACTATTAGCCGAGAAACTGGCTACTTTTCTTTGGAGTCTTTTTACCCTAACTGCCTAGCCAGTTCCTACCTCCTATTCTTATCACACGATCCTCTGAAGAGACTGTCCAAATTGCCCATAGGGAATCAGGGCACAGACTGCTCTAGCTTCTTTCATGCTGAACAGGGACGCAGGTTGAGAAACAGTAGCTATCAAAATTTGGGGAGAGGGGATGTGGGTGGGGGAGCTTGATGTTTAAATAGTGTTTCCCATGCCTAGCCAGTTCCTACCTCCTATTCTTATCACACGATCCTCTGAAGAGACTGTCCAAATTGCCCATAGGGAATCAGGGCACAGACTGCTCTAGCTTCTTTCATGCTGAACAGGGACGCAGGTGGAGAAACAGGAGCTATCAAAATTTGGGGAGAGGGGATGTGGGTGGGGGAGCTTGATGTTTAAATAGTGTTTCCCAAAAATTTCCAGAAAAATCATTCAGTTTTTTTTTTTTTCCTAGTGACAACTCAGCCCTCTCCACCTTGTACACACACCTAAAGCGTATGGGTATTTTTAGACAGTCTCACTTTATAGCTCTGGCTGGCTTGGAACTCACAATGTAGAGCAGGAATGCCTCAGACATGGGGCGATCTTTTGCCTCCCAAGTACTAAGATTATAGCTGCATAGCATCACACCTGGTATTAAGAAGTTTGTAACAAATCTTGGTTCCTTCGTTGTTATTTAAATTGCATCCTGTTTTTATCCTTCAAAATAAGAAAACTATTTTTATTGTGATCAGTGTAGAATGACACTTAATGGGAAATGATAAAAGAAAACACGGAATTCACTTTTATTTTTTGTTTCTGTTAACATAAGAAAATCAATTGGTTTTGGAAACGGACTTATGTTTCAGATAAATAAGTCTTTCTCTTGAAAATAAAAATATCAAAATGAACTTTTTATGGTTAATTACAATAACGTAGGTAGTGAAGGGATGAAAATGAGTGCTTAATTTTCAGAACCACGTTGTCAATAGGTAAGTTTACGATGATTCATTCACTTCCAGATGAATGGACTTGAGGTTATTCATACCTCATTTAGTTATATCAATTAAAACTTATCTGCAACAGAGAATGCAATGATCCTCTCCATGAAAGACTCAAATGCCAACTTCAAATTCATTTTTTCAATGCAAAGTATGATTTTTAATTTCTCATGCGAACTAAAATTAGCATAACGTTGCTGAATATTTTTTGTTCATTTAACTAACAAGTAATTGTGTTTAGTTATGAGATACCGTATGATATTTTGTTATATATATTATGGAAATAGTCCAGCTAATTAATATATCTATCACCTCATCAAGCTTTGCTTTTTTTGATGAGGTTAAAAATCTCTTACAGTTCTGAAATAGCCACTGCCTTATCACCCACTGAGGTCACCACGCACCGAAGTAGAGCACTAAAGCATCCCATCTCTCTGAATCTCTGTATCCTTGTGATCAAAAGTTCTCCTTTCTTCCCTCCTCCTCTACCCCTAGCCTCTAATGTCACTACCTTTTCTCTTTATACTCTCTTTTATGTAAGTTCATTTTTTAAGATCACATAGGGAAGCAAGTTCATATAGCAGCTGTCCTATGCCCAGCTTATTCAGTTCAGCATATCATGCCCTGCATTTCCAACCATGTTATCATGTGTGACAAGAATTCCTTTTTTTATTAAAACTGTGCATACAATGTTCCATTATATATAAGAATCACCCTTATCTCATGGGAGATAATTTGCAATTCTTGAAGTTGATGTCTAAGATTGTAGTGAACCCTACTTATAGCCTAATTTTTTTTCATGCACACACATACACACACACACACACACACACAGCCCTATGATAAAGTATAATATAGATTAGGCATAGCAGGAAGTTAAGAACTGTAATAATAAAATATTGCAATTATTAAAATGTAATAGAATTTATACAAATGCTTTCTCTTTTTCTCTCTCAAAATATCACATTATGCCATTTTCTTTCTCTTGTAATGAAGTGACTGATGGCTCGTGCCATAGTTGGTCACAGGTAACTGAAACTCCAAGGAAGGGATATATTTCTGTCTCTTTTGAGAAATAGTCTTTCCCCATTTTATTCAGGGTTTTTTGTGGTTTTTGTTTTTTTGTTGTTGTTGTTGTTTGTTTGTTTGTTTGTTTGTTTTGGTGTGGTTTGGGTTTTTTTGCCTTTCAGTCCCTTTTTTTTACAATAGCCACTAGCTCCTTATCAGATGTGTGGTTTGCATTTTTTTTTCATATTCCAGGAGCTTTTTCTTCACCCTGGTAATTGTGTGCTGTACAGACAATTCTGTGGCTTAATTGAACCCTGCTTATCCGCTTCTCCTTTTGTTGCCTAAGCTTTGGAGTCCTATCTAAGAACTCATTCAGCAGAGCAGGTTGTGAAGTTAATCCCCCTTGTTTTAGGTCAGGCTACAGCTAGGTCTTTAATCTTTTGAGTGTATTTTTTGTCATAGGAGGTGAGGGTCCAATTTCATTCTTTTGTATGTGAATTATTCAATTTTCCCAGGACCCTTTCTAAGAGACTGTCTCCAGTGTGAGCTTTTGATACTTTTGTCAAAAGCAACAGACTGTAAATGCTAGGATTTATTGCTAAGGTTTCTACCTGTTCCATTGATGTGTCTATCTAATTTTATTACCAGACCCATCTGGCTTAATACAATAACTTTATAATGCATAGTTGTCCTATAATCTATATGCATGACTTCAACAAACCATAGATTGAAATGTGTAATTATTGAATATATAAGCATCTGTTTTTCTTGTTATTGTTCTTAAATATTACAGTATAATAACGACTTACACAACATGCACACTGTGTCATTAGAACCAACCTAGAGATGATTTGAAACATAGAGAACAAGGCTGGTAGGTTATGTGCAAGTATAACCTCATTTAATGAAAGGACTTAAGGATCCATGAGGGGTCCTGGAACCAGTTCCCCAATGGTACTGAGAGATGGCTCCATTTCCAAATCAGGGTTGTGATAGTAGAGCTTGTTCTTTGTCTTCTGGATGCTTCTGCACTTCAGAGTGTTTTCTGGTTCCACAGGAAACTTAGGGTGACTTTTCTTTCTGTGTGAAATGACATTGGAGTGTTGATAGGGACTGCACTAGCTCTGTAGTCAGCCTGTAAAAGCTGGTCAAATAAAGGAAACATTAATTCACCAAAATCATAATTGCCACTGGAAGACCTATTTATGAATGGCAATGTTAGTCAAAGGCGAAGGAGAGGCAGGATATTAATTAACAAACTATCTCCCCTAAAAGAGTTATAAAAATCTCAGTACGTTCATGGAACCCTCACAGATACTATCTTAACTAATTCATCATGGTTATAAAAACTAAAACCTCTACCCTGGGTTTGATGCACTGAGGAGTACACCGCTTATGTTATATTCCTGTCCCCCAACTCAGTCTAATGGAAAAACACCAAACAGATCTATGTTGAAAATAATTTATAAAATAACTGACCCAACATTCCTCAGCGTGAAGGTCGAGAATCCCCAGGAGAGGCTGAGACCTTTACCTCCCAGGGAAGACTGAGGAGGCAGGACAGTGATCACAGTGACTGAGTGCATTACAGAATCCCAGATATGATCCTACTGAAAAAGTAAATTAGTGAAAAAGCTGGCGAAATCTGAAAAAGTCTCAAGTTTAATTCATAGTATTTTTCTAATGTTAATTTTTTAGTTTAGAAAATTTCACTGTGGTTATATAAGATGCTAATAGGAGAAGGACATATGGAAACTCAATGTACTGCCTTTGCAAATCTAAAATTATTTCAAAGTAAATGTAAAATATGGATGCTTAAGAGTTCCAATTTTATCTTCATCTATCTCTCATTTTCTTACAAGATACCACTAGGGAACAAAGCCTGTTTTTCTCTATTTTCCTCATCAAGTCCTTTGAAATTAATTTTTTTAGTTAAAATATATGTCAATGGTGGTTAAAATCTTAACAAAATAGTTAATAGTTAGATTTAATAAAGAAGCCGGAGTTGGTCATAGAAATTAAAACAACATAGTAAGACAAACCTTACTTTGCTGTTTAGTTTTCCAGCTGTAGATCAGAGCTTGTTATCTTTCTTGTACCCTCCCACCTCCTCTTTAACTGAATATGGCCATGTGACCTCTTCCTGCCTAGCATATGCTAAGATCTTAGTTTTAAGTTTTCTGGATATGAAGGTGCAGGGATTTAGACAGTAAGATGGGGCAATCAAGAGCTTCTTGCTCCTGGTACAATGATCCATGCTTTATAGTGGTTAGGAAAGGCACCTAAGTGATGCTACGGCAGTGTGGAGATGCTGCCTTCCCAATCCGCTGGCCACTTTACCTGGGGTTTGGATGTTAGGAATGAGCCTGCTTACTTGGTAGACATAATTCAATACTATTCAGTGGGTCCCATCTATAATTATCTGTTATTCTGCTAGGGCAGCAGAAATATAGAAGTAAAACTCATGATCTCCGCCAATACTCCCACTTGTTTGAAAGTAGACAACCATGAAATCTATGTAGTAAAGATTCTTCTGTCACACCTTCATTATCTCTTAATTACTAAGTCTGTGGCTTTGGGTATTTGTTTGAAGTTTCTGACTCCATTCACTTATCTGTAATTTAAAATGCTAATATTGGTCTCACATAATTGTCATGATCATTAATATTTGGCACATAGGAGACAGTAATTGCTGGCTGTCATGGTGATTGTTATCAACATGGCTAGAATATCAGAAAACATGGAGTCTATGACCCTAGGCAACTTTGTTCATTGAATATTATAGAAAGTCCTGGTCTCAGTCTGTGCTTTCTTCCTTACAGAGATGATGAAGAGAAGAAGAAATCTCTCTCCGAGGGTGCTGATGAGAAGGCTAATGGAACACACCCAAAGACCATCAGTCGTATTGGGAGTACAACTAACCCATTTTTGGACATTCCTCATGACCCAAATGCTGCTGTGTACAAAAGTGGATTCTTGGCTCGCAAAATCCATGCAGATATGGATGGAAAGAAGAGTAAGCATTGGATGTCATTGCTTTATGTCATTTTCTGTTTCCTTTATTTCATCTTTAGGTTCCAATGTTAAAGTGAATTTAACTGAAATAAAGCCAAAGATAAAGAAAAATTATATTTATAGAGAATTATCTTTTTGAAAGAGGAGAGGGTCTCCCTGTAACCCCAGCTGGCCTGGAACTCACTATGTAGACCAGGCTAGTTTCTATCTCACAGAGATCCACCTGTCTCTGCCTCCCCAAGTGCTGGGATTGAAAGTATGTGACACCATGCCTGGCTTATAGAAATATTCTTTGTAAAAAATATTTTGTTTATTTTTTATGTGTATGAGTGTATTGCATGCATGTATATAAGTACACCCATGTCATGCAATGCCTGCGGAGGTCAGAAGAGGGCATCAGATTCCCCTGGAACTGGAGTTATGGACGGTTGTTAGTTGCCATGTGGGTGCTGAGAATTGAACCCACTTACTCTGCAAGAGCAGCCAGTGCTCTTAACCACTGAGCCATCAGAGAAGTATTTTTAAACTTAGAGAAGGCATCTAACCTTAAATCAGAAACGCATTATGGTGCCTGATCTTTGCTAAGTAGAATTACAGAACTCTAGAAATGGAAATTTTATCACAGATTATTCATTTCCCAGGCTATCAATCATTAATTTATCTGTGGCTTCAATGAGTAATACTAACTAAAACTGTATAAAAGTATGGACACAGGCCCTGTATTCATGGAGTTGTCATTTCTGGTGGTTGAGGAAAAGGTTGAATTTAGAACACACAGAATAATGGAAGGTCCTAGAAACAGTGGAGGAAGAGAAGGGATTTGTATCCAGTGCATATGCAGGAGGGTTGGCATTTGGTAAGACAGACAAATGAGGTAAAGAACAGCATGATGTAATCAGTATTGGGAAGTTAAAGGAATCCTACCTGATGGCTTCAGATTTCTTGGTCTTTATCAAGTGTGACCTTCAGATAATATGATTTGAGCTTTGAGAGAAAAGGAATCTGTTTGCAAAGTTAGAATAATCTTTGGGATGGGGTGTGAATAAACAGTTTAATATAGTTGAACAGGCTAAGACAAGATGATAGGTATGGACAGTCCTGCATAGTCTATCGGTGGTTGGACACTTCAGCTAGAAGAGTAAGGGGTGATCAGTCCTGCGTATTCTATCTGTGATTGGACACTTCAGTTAGAAGAGTGATAGATGGACAGTTAGAAGAGTAAGGGGTGGACAATCCTGCATAGTCTATCTGTGGTTGGACACTTCAGTTAGAAGAGTGATGGGTGGACAGTCCTCATATTCTATCTGTGGTTGGACACTTCAGTTAGGTTGCAGTCCCGAGAAACATTGTGGTGGAGTGACTTTGACACTAACATAACACTGAATGATTTTTTTCTAATATTATAAGTTATTTAGGGGTACCTCCATCACATTTCCTGCGTACCTCATATAGTATCCTGACAGACTTCTTTTTAAAGTATGTCAGTCACCACTCATCAAAGAAGTCTCTTGCAATAGACGGAGACTATTGCAGTGTTCCACAACTGGTCACACACAGTGAATAAATTTTTACTGAATTTTTGTGCATTGCATATAATACTCTTGGTCATATTTAGACCCCTCCCCTCTCAGCACATTCCCTGCCAATTTCATGAATTCTCTGACAGACTTTTTAAAATTTTTATTTACTTATTTTATGTGTATGTTATGCCTGCATGTATGTAAGTGCACCCATGTTGGGTAGTGCCTACGGAGGTCAGAAGGGGGCATTTGATCCCCTGGAAATGGAGTTAAGGATGGTTCTTAGCCCCCATGCGGTTACTGGGAATCGAACTTGGGTCCTCTGCAAAAGTAGCCAGTGCTCTTAACTGCTGAGCCATCTCTCCAGCCCAAAGAAAGATCCTTTAGGAAGGAATAAGATATGAGTCACAGAGAAAGGGAACGCTTGGCAGACACTAATATCTGTCCATATCTTTATTCCATCATGTACATGCAGCCTCTTCATCGCTGCATATGAGCAGCACATCAGTGAGCCAAGCATTGTTTAATTCTCCAGTTACAACTACAGATAGACTCTTTTCTCTGCAGCATGCTGTGTCCACCTGTAGCTTCTATCCCCAAGGTTGTAACTACTCCCCACAGTCCAGTCGTGTGTGTGTGTGTGTGTGAGAGAGAGAGAGAGAGAGAGAGAGAGAGTAGCTTCAATCTGCAGCCTACATGAAAAATAGAGACCTATCTGATATAACCAGTGCTATGAGGTAGTGAAGGTCAAAACAAAAAGAATCAGAGTAAGTACATTTTAAAATGCCTGTTCAAGAAAATGCAAAAAAGCCAGGGTGGTGAGCATACACCGGAAGCCCAGCAGTTAGGAGGCAGAGGCAGGAGGATCAGGAGCTCCAGATCTGCCTATCTGCATAGTAAATTCAAGGTCAGACTGACTACATGAGAGTATCTGTGTATGTACATGTATCTCAACATCACCAAGTACTCTGAAGACAGAAGTTACTACAAGGTTTTAATAAGAAGAGAATTAAATAATAATCCTATTGAGGGAATATTTTCCCTTAAAACTTGATTAACTTGTCTTAAAAAGGACACTTGTTCCATTCAAAAATTTATGTCTTTTAGTTTTCAGTGGCTTTGGGCACTCAAGCTTTTTAGATTGCATACATAATTTTTCATATAAATATATTTTATACCCGAAATATTTTATTTTCTTTTTTTTTGCCTTCTAAAAATGTACTCAGAAATTGTACCTCCCAGAGACAGCTCATGATTCCAGCCAAGTGCTGTATCTCCCATAGATGTGTGTGTGTTTACCAGACCCCTTAAATCTGCCATTACGGAAAATACTGAAAAAGGAAAATTTGGAAAATAAGGTGTGTCTTTGGGATTTTGTCAAGTAGAATGAAAAACTTCAATACAAACTCTTGTTTTAAATCAATCTTGTTAGATATGTGTGGAAATCAAGAAAGTGATTAGAGAAACTCAAAATATATTAAATGATTGAAGTCAATTAACAATAACTTAATAATAACAATTTAAATAATTGCTCGATGTTAAAGTGTATCCCAAGCACTTGATTATGAACTCATTTAATCATTGGCATAAGAAGCAAATGCTGTTACCCTTATTTATGGATAAACAAAATGATCAGACCCACCTTAGCCCATGCTACCTGCAGCATAGAAGAATGGCATTTCTAGCAGGACAAACGTCTGATTATAGCTAACTGTAGCTTATTATTAAAAGCAATTTCTATGAGAAAATCTGTTTAGAAAAGCATTTCAGTTCTGTATTTCCTGTGGTAGGGATAGCCTATCACTTGTGTGGCATGTATTTAGATGACTAATCATCTCAAGGAAGGAGCAGTGGGATCTGAAGGTTTCATTTATGTGGCCAGTACGAAATTCATTAAAAATTGCAAGTACAGAGCTGGAGAGATGGCTCAGCGGTTAAGAACACTGGTTGTTCTTGCAGAAGACCCAGGTTCAAATCCCAGCACCCACATGGCAGCTAACAACTGTCTGTAACTCCAGTCCCAGGGGATCCGACAGCCTCTTCTGACCTCCACAGGCATCGCAGAACACAGGTGCACTTACCTACATGCATGCAATACATGCATAGACATAGAATAATAATAATAATAATAATAATAATAATAATTTAAAAATTGAAGTACATGAATTTAGTCAGGCATTTCCTGGTTGACCAGTTTCCACAGACCCTTACAGCCTCATGCTAGGCCTTCTCACAGTAATTGCTACTTTTCTGTCCCCAGAGTTATTTGAGGTCATGATGCCCTCAGTTACATTGACATAGCCCATAAAAGAAGCAGTCTCATACGTAAATCCAGACTTGTATCTTTTCGGTACAAATGTGAACAACAAAGGGCTTGTATAGTTTTCATTCAGAATTGTATGTAAACTATAGAGCAAGTAATGAATTTTTGTTTTCTCCATGAATGAATCACCCCTTGAAAACCCGAGACTATATATGTATTATATAAAGGCATATTAAGCACAGTCTAATAGCCCCCAAATGAGATTATACATGGTTTTATTGTTCAAAAAGTAATTACGGTTTGTAGTTAGTGAATATAAACTACAATATTAACTAAAGTACTACATAAAGTATTCAGAGTTGAGATGGGGAAACGTATTGGGAGCATGCTGTTTTTCCAAGTAACGAGAAAAATAGCACAAAAGAAAGGGAAAGAGAAGACAGAAGCCGCAGTCTCCCAGGCTTAGGAGAAGCTGTTATTTGATATAAGAAATAATTGACATAATGAAGGACCACAAAGTGAATCTGTAAATGGTACTGAGGTGAGAGGAGAGAGAGAGAGAGAGAGAGAGAAAGCCCAAGGAATATGAATGAATATTCTCCCTCTCAGTCTTAACATAAAAAGCAGTTTCAGGTAGACTAATGGTAAAAGTTGACAAAACAAAATTTCTAAGTTTTTCAGAAGAAAGTGTGAAATAGTAACTTTATAACCTTTGAATAGAGAATGTCTTAAGATTTAGAAAATCAAAAACAATAGAAGAAAATATTAATGTATTACATTTCCCCCTATGCTAGAGATTGGAGCCAGGGTTCTCACATGCTAAATGCTAGATCTGTGACTGAACTACACCTGCAATCCAAGACTCCTGTATATTATGATTTTCAGTCAAACATTTAAAAGATAACATACAGATTGGAAGAAGATACTTACAGCATTATTTTAATCAAGGATTCAGAACTGTAATATATATTTATAAAGCAACCTTAAGTTAATTTTTTAAATGTAGCCCTGTAGAAAAATGGGCAAAAGTTAGATAAACCAGTCATGCCAGAAAAAGAAGATACACAGATTATCTTTACTTCAGGAAGAAATACTCAACTTCACTAATAATCAAAGATATCAATATTAAATACATGATGAGATGCCATTTGACATGTATTACCTGGCCTTGGCCAAAATTTGAAAGAACATCAGATATTGGCAAGGATTTAAAGCACT